CTCCTCCTGTTCTGGAGCATTCAACTATTCTATATCCTCGTATCACTTCACTATCACAATTTCATACTTGTTTATTTAAACGCAGATTTGGTGTGCCCTTTTGAGTAGATATCATGAGACCTATTCAGGCCCCATTGACCACATTACCTATTTTTCATTTTCAAGTGGGTTTTCGAGACAACCGGCAAATCAGATATATGAGATTTGTTCACTCTATTTCTTTATGGTGATATGGGGACTGATAGTTGAATTTTCCCACAAGTATATAGGCACTAGTGGCAGTGTGGCGTAGTGGCTAACGTGTCAAGATTATAGGCTGCAGTGTCAAGGTTCGGATGCCGCTGGGAGTGTTGACAAGAGATAGTAGCACAGATAAGGTGGCAATGATCAAATGAACTCCCTGAACCAGGAAGACAAGAGACGGATCCTACAGGACAAGAGGGAAACTCTGATAGTACCTATGGGAAGAAAATTGCCAACTAAAAGGACAGACTCATGGCAATATTCCCAGCACAAGGGTGGGGAAAGGAGTTGAGAAAGCATGTGTAGGGTGTGAAGAGGTCTCATGAAATCCGTCCAAAAGGGTACACCATAACCACACTTAAATAAGCAAATTGTGATATTGAAGGGGTGACACGAGGATATAGGATAAGTGAATACCCCAAGACAGATGGAGAGATACCACAACTGTTTAGCATACATTTGGTCAAAGGATCTTTGACGAGTTGTTGTGTGGTGTTGAGAATGGCAAGGCTCATTGACGATGCCGACCAAACGTTTGGGAATATACTAAGTCTGACTCTGGAAATTAACATGCATACTATGGACTCTGGACAAGGTGTGTTCCCAGAGGTCTTCCTGACAATATGACCAAGTTGTGAAAACAATGTCAAACAGCTTCTATACAACAAAAAGCGGCCGAGACCATGCTTAGGGCCAGACCATCTTGATCTTCATACCTTCGATTAAAAATGAATTTCTCGAAAACTGCTTTTTATTAGTATATAAGAACTAAAAATCTTTCCATAAAATAGTACAGCTGTGTACTCATTACATTAGATAAATAGATAAAATGTCAATACGCTTCATCTTAACTACACTACCTGTTAGCTACTCCCTGTACTTGGAGACTGCATTCTTAGAGTTTTAAAATGAAGCTAAAACTGTGATTGGTGCGCACAGATTAGTTATTGTAAAAAAATATTACTTTCGATTTCTGAAGGTTGCATTAAAAAGGTCTTAAAAATTATATGAAAAAAACTAA